TCTACCATCTTTTTCATTGCCCCCCGCCACTTTTAGCAAACAATTTCCACAATTTTGTATGTAAAACTTATTTATAGTTATTTAACACATTTGGATGACAAAATCAGCTTTCACATCTCATTGAATTTTTGGCAGAATTAGAAAAATAGTAAATAGATTGAGTCTATTTTATATAAAAAATTTATTTTTTTAATTTTATTTTTTTTACCAAGTGCATCTATTTGTTTTAGTTTTTTTTAATATAGAAATAATTTATTTATTTATTTTATATAAAAATAATTTAATAATTCCATTACTAACCATCTCCCACACTATCATCAAAACAAACACACTTTTATTTAATCCATTTACTAACAATCCCTATATTAATAATCTCTTCACTAACCATTCTCTTACTAACAATTCCATTCAATCTAATTCGCTAAACAAGTGTGACATTATAGTTTAGGGGGTAAAGTGATGTTTAATAGTTTGAGGATCCATTTGTATGTTTTTATAATTCAGGTAATCAAAATGATACTTTTCAATAGTTTATAAATCTCTACGTAAATAGTCAAACAAATAATAATAAACGAAAAATAGAAATGCTACATCCTTCAAATATTTTATTAAACACTCACATAGATTTAGACTACATGAGATCAACGTTGTGTTTGGTTTGAGAGATTTGGGGAAGGGATTTCAAAAAGAAAAAAAAAAAAGATAGGTGAAATGCGAATGAAATATAGGGCAAACTTCACTTTACCCCCTTGTGATTTGGGCCGGGTGTGAATTACCCCTTTGACATTCGGAAATAGCTCCATAACCTCCATGCGGTTTGTGGATTAAAATGCACAGTTAACAATTCCATCCAAGATAACAAATAGTGAGAGCCATGCGCCTCTATGAAGAGTAAGTCAATTTTTAAGATGAAAATACCCTTCTTATATCTTTAAATTTACCAAAAATGCCATTGTTTTCCCTCTCCCCTTATTTCTCTTGTTTCTCTCTCTACTCTAACAGTTAATCATTGAGCTAGATATATATGTATATATATGTTTGCTATCATTTTCAAAATAAAAGTTAGTATCAATTACTTGAGAACAAAACTCACAATCATAATGCTTGTTGATTCACTAAACCCTCATCTTCATCATCAATATCTGTAAACCTCTACCCAGAAAAAAAAAATAATAAAAAAAAATAAATAACGGCCAAGACCAGATGGACGTCATCAGGTATTTGGTAGTCTTTCCTGAATTCGGCTAGGCCACCCGGAGTATTTACTAGGTATCTATACTTCCCCATCTATCGTATAATTTACGAATAAGTTATATCGGTGAAAAAATTGTGCTCAGTAGCTTGGTTGAGCGCATGCAGGAGTGCCTGGGCAACCTAAGTCTGCAAAGTAGAAAACACAGGAGTTAAGCACAGATCATTGGACCGTGCTACAAATTAAAAGCGAGGCATCTCGGCATACTGGCTTTGGAAACAATTTTTGTTAGACCGGTTCGTCGTTTTGGGGCAGCTTTCTGAGTTCGGTCTAAAAAACTAAGAAAGCTGGTTTAGCCCCAAGGCCTAAATCGGTTGTAGTGTGAATAGAGTTACTTCGGTTAAGCCTCTAGGGGCGGCTTTCCGAGTTCGGTTTAAGAACGAAGAAAACCGGCTTGGCCCCGAAAGCTTAGCTCGGTTATAGACCGAAGTACCTAGTTCGGTATGTGCAAGCTTGTTCGGTGATCTTATCTTGGCTAGAGTGGTTCAGAAGAAACTACTGATATTCCTACAAGTTCTAGTTCGGTTATTTCCTGAATCTATCTACATACATAACACAAACAGTATCCTAGTTCGGTTGGGACGTGATTCTGGATCAAAATCGAGTTTTCTCTAGGGTATATGACATATGCTCATGGGCTCTACTGATTTTTCCATGAAAGTACTAAAGTAAAATAGAGCTGGAAGAAAAATGTTTTGCAAAAGCAAGCAGAGCATGGAAAACAGAATATGAAAGCAAAACAAAGGAAAGGAAAAAGGATTGCTTACCAGGAAAAGATGAAGCAGAGGACGGGAGCAACGGCACCAACGAAGAACACAGACTCAGGAGGCTCAGAGGCTGGAGAAGCAGAGGCACAGAGAGAGAAGAAGGTGAATGGTTCAAAGGCAGAATGATCGTTTTGTGGAAGGAGAGAGAAAGGGCGGGAACTGTTCAAAAATTTCGTACTACGAGGGCGGCGTGACAGCTGCTCCCAGCCAATCAGAGCCCGCCACGTGTCACTGGAAAGGGAAGCGTTACAGTCGTGAGTGAAGAGACGTTTTTTTGACCGAACAAAGAGAGCCCGGAGTGAAAGTAGCTCGGCTGGAGAAGCTAAACTAATTTTTTAGCTCGGCTGGAAAGGCTAAAAGAACACCAGCTCGGTTGATAGACTAGTAATCCCAATCATGCTATGCAGATGGAATTAAGGGGCAATTGAGAGGGTAATTTTTGGTAAAAATTGGGCCGAGCTACGAGATAGGCATTGAGGCCCAAAATGCCAAGGACGGGGTAAAAAGGCCGAAATGTTACTCCGGCCCAAGAGAGATAGAAGTTACTCCGGCCCTAGCAGTTAAATTTACTCCGGTTCAAGAATGATAGATTTACTCCGGCTCTGAGGAGATGTTGACTTACTTCGGTCAAAAGAGAAGAAGTTACTTCGGCTAAGGAATTGTAAGCTGCTTCGGTTTGGACAGCCTGAGTTAGTCCGGTCTCAAGAAGGTAGTCCGGTCATGATGAATTCGGGGTAGGTCGGTCGGAATGTTGCTATTCAGTAGATTGGTCCAAACACACCACGGTTCGTGTATGAGAGAACCGAGATATGGTGTAGCATAAAGAAGAACCAAACTACTGTTAGTACGGCCTACTTTGTGGATCGGCATAGCCAGTTTAACTTCGGTCAAATGGAAGTTCGACCGTGGAGGAAACCATCCCGCTTGGTTTAAGCAATGGGGGAGGGTGTAAAAGGATAAGCATTATCCTTAGGAGTATGAATCCTAGCAGGACTCTGCATGAGAAATACAAGTCCTACTAGGATTGTGCCATAGGAAACTTATAAAAGCTCACAAGCATCACCTTGGAGGAGGTAATTGAACACAATCTTTTCTGAGAACATAGAGCTTTGTCTATTTGTCAAGTTTTCTGACTTAGGCATCGGAGAGGTTTCCGGCACACACCCGCCGGCTAGCTCACGTTTGTGTTTTCAGGTGATAAAGCGACGACGTACGGAGGAGCGTGGATTTGGTCAACAGGATTATACGAGGAGAATTATTTCCTCCCCGTACAATATATATATATATATATCTTTGATTGGGAAACATTATAAAAATAAAAATAAAAAAAGAAAGAGAGAGAGAAGAAGAAGGAGATGAAGATGAGGGTATAATTGTCAATTTATAATTTCTGTTAACAGAAGTTAGTGTGCATTTCAATCCACAAATCCCATAGGGGTT